CAGTCAGTCAGTCAGTCAGTCAGTCAGTCAGTCAATCAGTCAGTCAGCTAGTCAATTAGTCAGTCAGTCCGTCAGTTCCTCAGTCCCTCAGTACGTCAGTCCCTCAGTCCCTCAGTCCGCCAGTCCGTCAGTCAGCCAGTCAGACAGTCAGTTAGCCAGTCAGTTAATTAATCTGTGAGTGAATCAATCATTCTTCAGTCAATGCATCAACTAATTAATCAATTATTCATTCATCCATCCATCAATCAATCAATCAATCATCAATCGTCAGTCAATCAAACAATCAACTTTATTAAACTGTTTACAACTCCTAGGTGTCGAAAAGTCGCCAAATACGTGTTTTTGTTTTGAATTCGATTCAATACGTAGGAAACTGAAGCCTTTTTTTCCTGTTGAACAATTATTGCAGAAATGCCGGAACTGTTCGTTGCACAGGTAGAGTGAGACTTTTATACACCTGTAACAGGTCTAACCAAGTCGCACGTACTTCCTTACAGATTTGTGGATTAACTCTTACAGTTGATCTTGATGGCCTGGCAGTTCTATATCTAGCCACGCTTCAGGCTCTAGCAGTAAGTATTAACATTAGATATTAACAGAGTCTTGTTACGACTGGTGAATTTGCTCAATATCTCAATAACAACAACTTATTAACCGAGAGCGAGGTCTTTACTGGAAAATCCCAAAATCGCTCCTTCAATAAAACAGGACCGAAGTTTGAGATTTTCCCGTAAAGACCAAACGTTCGAGTTAATAAGTAGTTTATTACATGGCATTTGTTTGGCCAAAGATGTTTGAAGAGTCACTCAGATTCGAGGATTTTGTTATACTTAAGAGCAATTGGATAGTTCCGTCTTAATCTTCCAAAGTCGTAACCATGTTTGTTTATGTTCTTTTTATTAAATGTTTGGGTATTTTTCTAACCAACCGTTAAGTAACTTTGATGTTTTCTTCAATTTAAAATTTGTGTACATCAGAAAAGGACTTAAATATCGCGACGAAGTTGCTTTGAACTAAAATGAAAATGTTTTCATGTACAATATATATCGTTCCCTTCTAGCCATCTCTACTCCCTGATAGCTGGTTATTGTTCTTTGAGCGTCTTCACTCACGTGGTCAGTAGCCATGCAAAATTATTAGAACAAACCAAAGCGATTGCGCAAGAAAAGAGTTCAACTCCCACAGGATGGGTTTGGCAGACCAACATGGCCGCCGTTTCATTGTTTTGGGACACTAATAAAATTATGGTTGCAGTGACGTCATGTGAAAACACTACCAATCTCGTTCCCAGTGTCCTCTCTCTATCTCGAGAACCCTGGGAACGAGGTTGACCGTTTCTGCTGGGTTTCATGTAGTATAGGTACACGTTTCAGAGCTTCTCGAAATATTGATTAAAATGAAGGACTCTGCTACTTTTCTTTCATTTGCAGCACGGAACTCGTCACATTATAGAAAGCATGAACAAAGCTGGACATTTCATCGATACTCTGTCTCTTTGTGGCGGACTTACCAAGAACGAATTGTTTATTCAAACTCATGCTGATGTGACAGGTTTGTGCCGTACTTCTACAATGCTTTTCTTCTGAAAAGGGCTTCACTTTAGGTGGGTCTTTTGTTCGTCGGGTTTATTCTTTAAGCAAAGCCGCATACTTCAGTTTGGAGTTCAGAACATCTGCAATGGCTTGCTTCCTTTTTTGCATCGATTTCCAAAATCTTTAAATATGTCGCGGTGATAACAAAAACAAAATCATATTTTCTTTCCTAGGATTTCCTTGTGTTTTACCGCGCGAGAGTGAGTCAGTGCTCGTGGGCTCAGCGATTTTGGGAGCATGCGCATCAGGCGACTTTACCTCTATCCAGGTTGGTACATGAACACTGTAACCTCGACGGTGACATCATTAAAAGATCAAATTTCTGCTTAAAATATTAATGCAAAATCAACTACGCGGGTGATACGAAAATAGGAACTGATCACCAAAGAAAAACTGTCTTCAAACATAGGATAAATAACCTTAAGGTCATTTCCCAGTATTGCATTGCGCATCCTTGCTGCGCAATGCGCATGATTAGCGCGTGCGCATTAAAAAATGGCGGCTTTTCCTTTGCGGCTGGACCTCGCCATAGAGGTAAATCTATCAGAAACTGTATCGCTTATGCTAATGAGGCAAATATTGGAAACAAAGAATCTCCTGTTGACGGCAGTGAAAAAGGAACTTATGATACACCATGATATATCTTTCCAATCGAAATTTAAACTAATGAGAAAACGGAGAATTAAAATCGTAGAAATCTATGCTTGTTAATATCAGATATCCAAACACTGACAACGTCATGATTTCCTTTCGGTTACCTTGACGAAATGAGAGAAATCTGTGGTGAAAGTACAGTGAAAGAAATTCAAAGACAACGGGTTTTAGCTCGGGTTGTCGAGAAGATCGGGAAACTGAGGTTCTGTGAAATTAGTCGGGATTCCACTGTCTAAGCTTTACAACTGCACGATAAAAAAAAATCAAATATGTGTAGAGTACTAAAGAAGAGAAGATATTGCATGTAAAAATCCTTTAAAAAATGAGACGTCTATCCCGGTTTCTGTAGCATGAAGCGGCTAGGAGTATTTCTAATCCTCCTAGACGGGATGCTAGTCCATCGCAGGCCACTCTCCCACAATTTGTTAGGTGTCCCCAACAATTCGCCGGTACCCATTTATACCCCTGGGTGGAGAGAGGCACTGTGAGAGTTAAGTGTCGTGCCCACAATGTCCAGAATTCGAGACAGTTCTGCAAAAACACCACAATGTCCGCGGCCAGGGCTCGAACCCGGACCGCTCGATCCGGAGACCAGCGCACTAACCATGAGGCCACCACGCCTCCCATTTGTTTTTAAAAGTTATTAATTAATTTCGCTTGTTTGAAAAAAGTTAATAGTTTATTTTAATTGCTGTAAAACATAAACATTTATGGTCTTTGGACCATTCTGTGATGGAAAAAAAAAGTGTTAGAAAAATTGTAGACCAATATAGCTTACTACTATTGTAAGGCAAGACACAAGAAAGTCTTGACAATGGATTTTGAGACTCTCACTGTCGTAGCTTAAGTGCTTTTACGGTTAATATTTTTTACCGCTAACGGCTGAAGCTGTCAAGTTTAACCCACCAATAAAGTTTCGCCAAAGACATCCTCGCCAATTTGTACCCTTTTTATTTAGAAGTTAGAATAATCGTATGCCACCAAATTTTCAGTCACTCATTAATCATTGTTTTCATCAAACGATTAGCGATTGATGTCTCCTCAGTGATTACTCGTCGATATAATCTCGTGGCTACATACCGCACCTGGTTATTTGAGCAATAGAGGACTTTTTCTGTGTTTACATAGCTTCATCATGACACGAGAGGGGTTGGGAGAATTCGATACGGTTATGCAAACCCGAGACGCAGTCTCGTCTCGACGCATAATTTTTGACATTGTGTTGCTCGGCAGAAACTACCCTTAGAATCGACCCTTGGGTTGGAGCGAAAGCGTTCAGGTTTTTATCTCCTTACACAACTGGCAATGGCGTTGTTTTCCGACCTTTTTTTAATGTAGTATTCGTTGTGTTTAGTTTGCACTGATTTAAGGTCTTCTGTAAGTCTAAACTTAATGCAGGTCAGGTTTTCCAAATTTGAATTCTGAAGATTATCACAAATTTCCGTCGTAAAATATCAACAACAATCAACAACATGCGTCACTACACAGCAGTATCGAAACGTAACGTATACAATTATCGACCTGCCGTGTGATATCCTCGGTATCGGACTCAGTAATTTGGCATCAGTATTCCACCACCAGACTCAGTATTCAGTCTCAATTTGCATTATGCGGCCACAACGTAGTGTATTGATATCAGACCTTCTTTTAGCCGTCGTATTTCTTAATGTGACTTTTAACGTCTGCTATTAAGACAGCCAAGCCACAAAACAACCTTAAAAGAGTCGATTCAAGGCTGGATCAAAGTTACTTTCTAACGGTGGAAATACCTGGAAAGCTGAAGCAAACAGATCACTCTATGATCGTGAGTCAGCGAATTTGATTTTTTACAGCCATCTTTGGCTTGAACAGGGAAAACATTCATGTACACTGCTATATAGAGCAACTTAGAATTATTACAGTCCCTACATTCAGGTCGGGCCGGACGGTAAAATATTTGGTTCTTGGTCAAGACGTACGGACCGAGCGCAGCGCCTTCCGCACGTCATGAACTCGAGCCAAATATTTTCTCGTACGGCCCTCCCACTCAGTCAATAAGTACATATTATTATTTCCGCAGTCTTGCTTGAATATAATAATAATGTCTTTATTTATGTGTCAGTGATCATACCCGATTGTGGAGCCCTCTACTAATTGGGGACACCTTAATTTTGCTTACCACAATACTGTTTTAAGAAAAGTTATGAAGTCTGAGTGACGTTACATTTTACATTATATCAAGGCGCGAAGTTTCTCACAAACGTTTTTCGTTTGAATACCCGTTTAGCCCACAGTTCCGTACTCGCTGTGGATTTTTTTCTCATTTACTAGGGCGGACATCAGAAGGTTGAAAAGTAAAATTTTAACTTGTAGCTTTTTTCCTGCCGTCTCACATTCTCGTGCCAAGAACTTCCTGGTTTTTTGGTCACAAGTCGAATTCTAAGCACTTCAACCCAAAATTAAACCTGATTTTTTAAAACCGTTCATACTGTTGCTATGGTAACCTTTTGCGTCACGAAAATGACTTAAATTTGTTTATCAAAGACTGACCAAATGTTTGATACCCAAATTTTTTCTGGTATCCCATGGAACCGAAATAATTTTTAATATGTACTCTTTTCTACAAAAAAAAAACGTCTAATTTTTCAGCCGAGGTTTAAGACATAGTATGACGGTTCGGCGCATGTCCAAGCTAGAGGTAGCCCACCTATTTCCGTTGTTTATAAACCAATCAGATGCGAGTAGATAATTCGTGCTTCGGGTCCGGAATAAAATCGTCGGGCCAAATAACAAATTCGATGTTTAATACTGAGATCGAGATTTTCTATGCAAATCCGTTGACATCTTCCGTGAATTTTGGGCATCAGTAATTCTGCAAACTTTCGTGTAACCGTATGACTACAAAAAAGCTCTTATTCTGCTTTCACAAAATTTTAGTCTGTTATTTCTGAAATACATGTGGGTGACACGAAAACGAAAATGCGTTTAATGTATGGAGTCGGGTAATAAGAAAGGAATTCTAATGAGAACTCTGTCAGGGAAATCACGTGATCATCGTCACCTGATCGTTTTCGAAAAGCTCCGTTTCCAAAATGTTTTCCGTTCAAACGAAAACGCAAAGCCAACGTTTTGAAATTCCTCCGGTTTGAAGAGCGTTTTCGAAAAGCTCCGTTTCCGTGACGGATCAGTAGACGGTAGGCCTTACCGTAGAAATAAAGCTGCGTTTTCAAATTTCTCCGGCGTACGTAGCGACTAAAGCAAAATTTCCACAAGACTTGATCGAAGCTAATATTTGTTTTCTCAAAAAATGACAAATTGTTTGTTTGTACTAAGAGATCTCAACGGCACATTTGTAAAAGCTGAGATCAGGTTGTCAGTATAACAACTACATTGCTGTTTCACGTATTTAGCTATTAAATTTTCTAACCTAGTCCAGGACTCCCTCGGTAGCCCAATCGGTTACGCATATCTGACCTGCTGTGCGGTCGGCGGGGCATATAAACGCTCGACGCCAGTCGGGGGACTCCGCTTTTAGTTTTTTTCCTCCACGTGTGAAACATGTGATGTGTAACAACTGACTTGAAAAAGGCTTTATGAAAAGGAAAACTTAATTAAAATTTTTCATGATGGTTTTGTTTAAACTTTATCGGAGTTAATTTGGCACAGAACCAAACTTTGGTCTAAGCTTTGGCAGCTATAAAAGGTTTGCTAAGACGGCGAGTTACTATTGTTAGAAGAACGAAAATCCTTAGAGTGGCTATAAGTTATCGAGACGCCAATCTGTTTCAGGTCTGAAAATTTTTGTTAATCCACATTTGTAAAAGCAAAATTAGTTTGTCAGTAACACCTATATTGTTGTTTCACGTATATAGCTATTAAATCTTTTAACCTTGTCAAGGAGTCCCCCGGTAGCCCTATCGGGTACACATCTGACCTGCTGTGCGGTGGGAAGGGCATATAAACGCTCGACGCCAGTCGGAGGACTCCGCTTTTATTTTTTCTTTCTCGTTTCAACCTGAATAGATGTATATATATTGTACAATCCTCTGTTCTTCCTCTATTCTTCCTCTATTCTTCTTCTATTACTTCCGTTTGAAGTAAGTTTGATGTGAAAATGCTTTTCAAGAAAGGGCGTCAACCTTACCCTACCGTAAAGTGCCAATGTACCCATGCCTTGATTTTTCTTAAGCCCTCTTTATTGGTGCAAAGTTAAAAACGATTATGCGAAGCCCTTAGAAAGGATGGAGATACCAGAGCAAATGGAACACCAAGCGTTGTAAACATATGATTTAACAACCGACTTGGAAAAAGGTTTCTAAACGTGCAAAATTATTTAAAATTCTTCATAATGGTATTCTTTAAATTTTATGGGAGTTTGGCACAGAACTAGACTTTGGCCTAAGTTTTGGCAGCTTGTAAAGGGTTTCATACAGGCCTCGTTATTGTTAGAGGAACGAGAATCATTAGAGTGGAGAGAAGTTGTTGAGACACCAATCTGTTTTAGGTCTGAAATTTTTGTTAACGGCACATTTATGAAAGCTGAGATCAGGTTGTCAGTAACAACTACATTGTTGTTTCACGTATTTAGCTATTAAATTTTCTAACCTAGTCCAGGAGTCCCCCGGTAGCCCAATCGGTTACGTATCTGACCTGCTGTGCGGTCGGAAGGGCAAATAAACGCTCGACACCAGTCGGGGGACCCCACTTTTAGTTTTGTTTTTCTTTGTCGACGGGTCAATTGAATCAATACATAAAAAAAAAACAAACAAACAAACAAACAAAAAAACATGGCGAACGGTGAAGACGAGCCTGAATTCGACGTAGACCAGTAATTCTAGGAAAGTCATAAATTTACCCTGTACAAAGACCTCGAGGGCTATTGTCCCTTCAAAACAAGCAGGAAAAAAGGCAAAAGGCTTGGAAGACCTCTCGCAAAAATACAACTTTTCGCCTAGCTACCTGAAACGACACTGAGTTCATATTGAGAGAACCTCGCTGGCACGGAAAATTAAGAAGAAAATGACGGCCAGAAGTCGAAGTGGAACTTCGTCGAAATGCTAAATTATATTAAAGGCGCCATCTTTACTTGCACACGATTAACCAGACTTGCAACACTGTATTTTACGGCGAGAGAAGTTGGTCACAAACGTGGTAATACGAACAACAATGTGTTTCAACTTGTAATGCAACGATGTTGCGAGAAAAGTTGAAGAAAAATGTTGCCCGTATTACCGAACCTTAATGTAGTGGCACTGATTTGTAAAAGCAGTACTAGTTTGGCCGTGTGTTCGTTTCCTCGACGCAAGAGAGACTGGGAACGAAAGAGAAACCCAACATGGCTGCAGAAGTTAAAATCTTATTTCTACGCCAAACAATCGACGAAGAGACTGCCTTTGGTGTTTTTAGCCTTTCCAAACGTATTTCGTGATGTGTATTTATATTTCAAGGTAAGAATTATGGCTGCAGCAGGCTGCAAAACACATAAAATGGGGACCAAGTTGACTGACCTTCGCAAATAAACAACAGCCCGGTAGGAAATGCAAAACTGTTAAGGTAAGGTTAAGCTTTAACTCAAAAGCTGTTATTTACGAATAATGGTTTTTAAACCTAGTCATCTTCTTTGTCTTTCCATTAGATAAGTTTAAGATTTAATTCGGTTAAATTGTAGTTCTCCAAGTGTCAGAAGTGTTTCACGTTACATCGCACACGTGCGCCGTTGTTTTGAGCAAAAATATCTGGAAGCTACTGTTTGTTTGAGTTAGTAGCTTGCAAAAAGAAATTTCGAACCCCTTAAGTGATGATTTTAGACATCAAGTAAGAAGTTAAAACGTACTTAACTCTCCCTCTCTCCCAGACCTTATTAGCTTACGGCGTTTTTTCTCACCTATTTGCACGTGTGCAAATCTCACATCTCAGAGGCTAAACTCAATGAAGAAAATGCCACCTCTTTATGCAAATTGATTTCATGAACTACTCAGTAATAAATCCATAAATATTGGTCAACTTCTACTCGATGAATTAGATTACTACATGCTATTCCTTAATATTATTTTTACCCTGATGTTATTAGTTAATGAGTTTACATTTAAGGACGGTGGCTACTAATTGCAAAGGTTTTTGCGCCAGGTTAGGACCATGTGGAAAAAGTAGATCTTTGCAAGGGCTGTTGGAATCCACAAAGAAAAATGGGGGTA